TCAACACAACTCAACCCAACTCAACCCAACTCAGCTTGGCTTGGTCAACTCAAGTCAACTCAAGTCAGCAAAACTCAACCCAATTCAACACAACTCAAGCCAACACAACCTAACTCAGCTTCGCTTAGTCAACTCAACCCAACTCAACCCATCCCAACTTGGTCAACACAACTCAACCCAACTCACCCCAACTCAGCTTCACATCACATGGTCAACTCAAGTCAACACAACTCAACACAACCCAACACAACTTAAATTGGTCAACTCAACCCAACTTGACCCAACTTCACATGGTTGACTAAAGTCAACACAACTCAACCCAACTCAACCCAACTTGGTCAACACAACTCAACTCAATCCAAGTTAAATTGGTCAACACAACCCAATTCAACCCAACTCAACACAACTTGGTCAACCCAACCCAACCCAAGCCAGACAAACCCAACCTTGGCCAACCCAAACTGGACCCGAGCCAATGGGGGCCAACCCGGGCCAACCCAAGCCACGCCCACCTTTGGCGCGGTGATCCTCCTCCTTGGGGCAGTGCCCCCCTTCCCACCACTTCCTCTTGAGGATCTCCAGCCGGTTGTTCTCCTGCAGCTGCAGGATGGCCAACGTGATCTCATCGCGGAACGGCGACCCTGCCAGAGGAGGGGACGAGGGACACGACACCGGGGGGGAGGTCCCACCTGCTTTTCCGGGGGAGGGCGGGAATCCCACCCCGGCCCCGCCCCCCCCGGCCCGGCCCCGCTCGCCTCGATTGCTCAACCCATGGGGTCGATCGATCGATCGATCGATCGGGCTGATTGATTCATTGGTCAGTTGGGTTGGTCGGGTTGGTTGGGTTGGTTGGGTCAGTTGGGTTGGTTGGGTTGGTTGGGTTGGTTGGGTTGGTTGGGTTGGTTGGGTTGGTTGGGTTGGTTGGGTTGGTTGGGTTGGTTGGGTTGGTTGGGTTGGTTGGGTTGGTTGGGTTGGTTGGGTTGGTTGGGTTGGTTGGGTTGGTTGGGTTGGTTGGGTTGGTTGGGTTGGTTGGGTCGGTTGGGTCGATTAACCCTTCAATTGGGTTAAATGACCGGACGGATCGCCTCGATTGCTCGACCCATGGGGTCGATTGATCAATCAGGTTGATTGATTCATTGGTCACTTGGGTCGGTTGGGTTGGTTGGGTTGGTTGGGTCGGTTGGGTTGGTTGGGTCGGTTGGGTTGATTAATCCTTCAATTGGGTTAAATGACCGGACGGATCGCCTCGATTGCTCGACCCATGGGGGTCGATCGATCGATCGATCGATCGGGCTGACCGGCGGATCCATCGATGGCCGCCCCTGACCTGGAAGAAGGTCATGGTGGAGCCGGCGTGGATGGTGCCGTACTCGATGTTGGTCTGGTCGGCGAGGTCGTCGGCCGACTCCACCGGCACCTCCATGCGCTGCACGGTGAGGAACGCCGCCAGGTTGGCCGTGTACGACGAGATGATGATGAGGGTGAAGGCCCACCTGAGGGGGGGGCGGGGTCAGGGATGGGGGTGGGGCAGAGACCCCCCCCAGGGCCTCAAAAATCCCCCAAAAAATGGAGTTGAACCACACGGAAAACGTGCCAAAAACACAGAAAAATCACCCCAAAACATACAGAAGTCACCCCAAAAATCCCAAAAAAAGACC